TAAGGGAATGCCACATGATGCCAGAGGGGCTTCCTAGTAGGTGGGGAAATGTTGGTGGGAAACCCAGACAAAGGGATGCAAAGCCCCCCATAATCTTCCCTCTCCAGCTGCAGCAGCCACACCTCGGGCAAGTGCAGAGCTGCCGCCTGAGCCAGCCGGGGGACCCAGGTAAGTAGGCACATGATCTAGTCATCCCACCCACTGCTCCCATCCCTATTCCTGGTCCAGGTGGCCCTAGGGGTTAGCATGCAGAATGGGGTGTGCCTGGGGGTGAAGGGAGGCATGGTCATCCTAGCCCCTAACCCATGCCAGGCTTGGTTCTCATTTAGCCACAGCTACCAGGAGGTGACCCTTGCAGCAGGGAATGCCACAACAGTGATGGGAAGCCAGGTAAGAGGACCTGGGAATAGGGTCTTCATTGGGCAGGGGGTATATTTCTATCTGGATGGGAGGCTGCCAGGGAACTCTGTAGATACAGGAGGACTCTCTTGGGAATTAGAAGGGAACAGATTCCTGGTATGTGTCTGAAGTGTAAAAATCCATAAAACACTTTTATTCCCATTTTCCTAATCTCTTGGGGCCCCGAATCCAGTTGTGAATTTTTTTGGCAGGGGTGGGCACAGCTGAGCTCTGCCCTCCTATAGGTGAAAGCAGGCAGGTGAGGCTCTAGGAGAGTGAAGTTCTCTTTTCCCTGTCTGCATTGCAAAGGCCCTCAACCCTGTCATAGGCCTGTCTCCATATGCTGTACAGTGCCCAGGAATACTGCCTGAGAAGCTAGCAAAAATAGGGCCACCTGCTGGAGGTTGCAGGGAAGGACTGATTGAGACGTAGAACCCTGAGCTACTGTCCTTTGAGTCATGACCATTTCCTTGGTCCATCCTCCTGGATCCTCCTCATTTGTGGGAGAGGTGGTGGGGTTTGTTTTCTCCCTTTGCCAAACTTTGTTGGCCTCTGGATCAGGGATTCAGGTTTTCTTTTTAATTCCAGTGTACATTGGTCTCCTTTTTTTCCCTACAACCACAGACACATTATACATTCAGCCCACCTGTGATGTCATTCCCCAGAGTGGCTTGAGTCACCGCTATGTGCACCACCCCAATGAGCATCTCTGGGTGACCAGTTGGGCCAGCACGTTGGGGAGCATCATTTATAATAGTAAACAATGAGACCCAGCTATCCGCCTTTTGGAAATAGGTACAAAGGCTTAAGGCGGGCTGAGGTAGGCGGGGGTGAGCTGGGGTGGGGCACTCTTTTTCTATAATGTGGATTTGCTAGGTGTTTTACTTCTCTTTTACCTGCTCTTCCAGGCTCCAAGTTTTAGAATTGTAGTCAGATACAGTTTGAGTTGAAAAGGTGATCCTACAATGAACAGATGAACTCAAGTCTCCTGATTGAGCCAGGCTTGTCCCTCTGCTCACGGGTCTCTAGGAATCCACACATTTTAGTGGGAAAATGATCCTTACCCAGACATCTCATTCCCCGATGGACTTCCATCCTTCCTAGTTTCCTGGCAGCCTCCCTCCCCTTTTCTTATGGAAAGGCACAAACATCTGAACCAGGTGACCTGGTTTCTCACATTATTCAATAGAGCAATAAATAGTTTGAATGGCCTTACTCTAAGGTGACTAATGGTGTGTGGGTCTGAGCTCCCTGTACCGGGGACACTTCCAGGGCTCCTATCTGGAATGCCCTCATCTGCAAGGAATTAGCCATGATCCCAGACCAATAGACAACTAACCTTGATTTTAAGTCAGTCCAGCTTCTGCAGTGTTCAGGCATTTTCCAGAGAACTGATGGCTTAGACCAGCAGCTTAATGAATTTGAATAAGAGAAAAAAAAAAAAGAAGTTCATTATTATTTTCAGAAACCTCAATGCAACTGAAGTTTAGCTTGCCTTTCAGTTATCACTACAATAGGCTTCAGACCACAAGGGTGACTGTCACCAGAAGGAATCACAGATATTTTCCTATCACCTTCCACTTGTTGATATCTCAAGATATCATTTATGCTCATTACTACTTCAAAATTTGGGCAGTGATAAGATCTTGTCACTGCATGTGTTAATAAAGAAGCACAAATATTACTAAAGCACACACTTCAATAATACATTTTATAATTATATTATAGTATATTTGATTTCCTTTTTAATCTTAGGTTTTATTTGATATATTTGAAAACATTACTCTGAGAAGGTGTCTACATAGTCTTCACTAGATTGTTAAAGGGGTTTTTGGCATAAAACTAATTAAGAACCCCTGAGTCATCTTGAAGATGAATCATTTGGACAGAATTTAAAGACTACTCCAAAAATGGCTTTGGGGCATGGGCTGTCTTATCCTCACAATATGAGTCTCAGAGGCCACATCTAAGGTGGGGGTGAAGTGTGGAGACACAAACAATGAGCTTAATTAAGAGCTCTTCAGGGGTCAAAGGAGGATGGTGGCTTTACCATTTCCGGTTTCCTGTGGTCTCCAAGGGTCTTTAGGGTAGGTTGCTACAGGTGGGAAGCCTGACCCCTAAGGCTGACCTGGTCTCTGGGTCAGGACTGCTGAGAAGACCCAGAAGGTACCAAAGGATGGTAAGAAACCTGGCAAAGGATTGGTCAGTGACCTCCCAGATGCTCAGAAGGACAAGGAGAGGGAGGGTATGAGTGTTAGCGCATGAGGCAGAGAGACTTCAGCTGCTAAGAAAGGAAGGGCAGAGAGCTGGGGCTGGGCTCCTGGGACCAAGGCTTCTGAATATTTGCTATGTTTCAAGTCATTTGCTGGAGACCAGGGGTTCAGCCCCGGGCATGCAGAGATGCCAGTGAGGGGGGAAGACATAGAGATCAACCCACAGTGAGGTTTGTGGCTGGTTGGTCGTGAGAACAAGAACGTAAGCTCCATGCAGGGACTCTGTCTCTTCACTGCACCTAGCTCAGTGCCTGGAACATAGTTCTGGGTACTTTGTACTGATGAGGAGGCTGAATCTCTAAGAGGGAGCCCACTGTGTTGGTCCCGGTCCCAGGTGACATTAGACCCCTCAGACTGAAGTTCTGAGAGGTCAGGTGTCCGGTCATCTAGTGTGTGGCGAGTGACACTCCTGATGCTCAGGACTGTCCTTTCAAGTGGTTTATGTCTGAAGAGACCATGTGCCGGGAGTGGTCTGGAGACTAGGCATTCTGAGCCCTGCCTTGCTGTCTCCTCAGATCTGTGGTCTTAGGGAGAGTTCTAACTTGGAGCTGAGTTCCTAGAACAATAGTTGGATCCTTGAGGTCCTGCTTTTTCTGCTCTTGGAAAAGCCCCAGGGGAAGGTGGGGTGGGGAGGGGTGTGATGTTTCTTGTGTTCCTCACCTCCGCCCCCTGTTTGTTCTCCAGACAAGGGTTTCTGTGTGGGGCTGTGGAGGGCAGAAGGCTTCCTGTAGAGGGAGGGAGAAGGAAGGGGAGACTAGGGCATAGAGTGGGGGTATGTTCAGATTTTGGGCATCACCAGGCTCCCCCAGATGTCACTTTAAAGGGCCTAGAACAGTCCTGGGTCTAGAATATCCTGAAAATTCTCTGGTACCTCTCAATGGTGGCCAGGGGAGGTAAATGGCTTTAGCACTACACCAAGGAGCAGGGGAGCTTCCTCTTTACAGATAATGAACAGAAGAGCTGTGACCTCCAGGAAGCCCACCTAGGAGCTGGCCCTGAGGTCAGGCCTTCATTGTCCTCCCTATCCTGTCTCTAAAAGGAAGCCGAAGCCCTCAACTCCTTGGCCATGTCTTCCTGGGAAAGGCGGCTCCATCGGGCCAAGTGTGCGCCATCTTGTAAGTGGCACCCTCCCTGTGGTCTACAGGCTGTTTGTGACAGGTTCCTGACCCATGAGAAATTGTGAGGGCAGGAAGGGTCTTCTCTCTGGCCTCCTGTGACCTCTTTTCCTGACTCAGGTCTCTCTACACCTTCCCCGTTGGCCTCCAACGCCACTCTGCTTCTTCTTCCTACCTGAGGGGAGTTGCATCCCAGGGCCCTGGGGCTCCCCTCACACCGTCTGACTCCAGTGAAATTGGGCTTCTTTTCAGTGACTGGTTTTCTCTCCCCTTCATTCTGTGTCTGTGCCTTCTTTCTACTTCCAGTGGCACCGCTCTTCACTATGTCCTGTTTTCTGTGTCCTCTCCTCTCACCTGTCCTGTGTCTATGGTCCCTCCCCTCACCTGCCTCATGCCTGGGCCTGCCCCCGTCACCTGTTCCGTGTCTGTGGCCTGTCCTCCCACATCATGACTGCTTCCTTCACCGCACTCTTCTACTTTGCTTCCTCTTCACCTGTGGCCTTCTCACTACAAGCTTCCCATAAAAGGGCCTCTCCCCTTTTCTTGGCCTCTGCCCCTGCCCTGTGGAGCACTGAGGAAGAATACTACCTGAGGATCTTCCAGGCAGTCTCTCCCTGCTCATTCCTCATGCTTCATTTTCTCAGTTTTGCTCCCTTGACTGCCAGCCAGGATTTCAGCTTCCGGAATTGAAGGCCTGACAGCCTCGGGGCCTCTTGGTGCATACTAAAGGCAGAGCCTCTGCCACCTCACCTGGCCTGCCTGCTAGGGAGTGGGCAAGGCTACAGTCTGAGGTATCCCTCGAGGGCCCCATTCAGGCCAGTTAAGAAATATTGGGGCTGTCTGGGATGAGGACCTGATGCCCAGCACAAGAAAATGTGTATCACTGGGTTCTGCCCATCTTGGCTCCATTGGGAGGTGACTCTGTGTCTCCCTTGCAGATTTGTTCTCCTGCTTTAATGGGGGCGAGTGTGTGCACCCAGCCTTCTGTGAGTGTAGACGCTTCAATGCCAGTGGACCACGCTGCCAGATGGGTGAGTCTGGGCTGTACCCTTAACCCGTGGGGGTGGTGCTGAGGCCTGCTGGGCTGAGGGGAACTCACCAGCCTCTAGCCTGATGCCCAGCACAGCTGTGCAGAGAAGCTCTCTTTCCCCTGCCTCAGTGTACAATGCAGGCCCTGAGAGGGATAGTATTTGCCGGGCGTGGGGGCAGCACCATGTGGAGACATTTGACGGCCTCTACTACTACCTCTCTGGGAAGGGCAGCTACACGCTGGTGGGGCGCCATGAACCTGAGGGGCAGAGCTTCTCCATCCAGGTGAGGTCTCCCCTGCCCTGTCTGTCCAGAAAGTTCTACCAGTCCCTGGTGGGTGGGGAAACCTGGGCTCTGTTTGTGTTGGAGAACCTGGCACCCTCCTGTCCCCATCACGGCCAGCTGCAGCCCAGGGAGTCTGCATCTAGAAGGGGACATGGCTCCACAGTTCTTGCTTGCCTACTGAGTCTCAGCTGTCCCCTGACTATTCATTCATTTACTGAAATATTTGAGTGCTCCTGGACTCTTTTCTGGGTACAAGGTTTGAGGGTGGAAGGCCCTGAGAACAAGGACTTCCTTGTTCTTGGAAAAAACAGACATGAAATGAAGTGAATCATTTCAAATACAACTGGGCACCAGACGGGACATTTAAGTTGGGATCCGAAGGAAGAATTAGAGTTAGCAAAAAGGAGAGCAGTGGGAGTCGGGATGGATAAGAAGACATTCTAGGCAAAGGAAATTCTGGGTAATAAGGGCCTCAGATAAAGTGCATGGTGCCTCAGAAGAGATGTTGGAGGTCTCAGATGACTCCATTTAGTCACTAACTCTAAAGAGACTAACCAGATGTGCTGCCTTTCCAAGCTGGTAGAGGAGCCCCTCTCTGGGTTAACATGACCTTGCCATTGCACATCTCTTACAAGGACTGCTTCTGGGTTTCATCCTCTACCAAATACTTCCTAAGCTAGGAGCCATGTTTTTTGTTTGGTTTTTCCAGTGTCTGCATTAGTGTTCAGTAAAAGCTTGTCAAATATATGAACATACGTGTGAGAGGCACTATTTTGCAGAGTTGATTTCCTTGCCACCCATATGTTGAGTGAGGAGTCACCTCCAGGCCAATACACCTGCCTGGAGAAAAATCTACCTGGGAACCTGCTCTGCCCGAGGGCACCTTGGTCTTTAGGGCTAAAGGGTTGGGGGTTTGGGGAGATCCTAGCACTCAATGTCACCCCTCTGCCAGCTGGGTATGATCCTCCTGCCTCAGAAATAGTGTACCAAAAGGCTGCCCTGGAGGCCATGTGCAGGATGGGCTGGGTGGTGACCAATTCTCCCCTCTCTGCCTTGGGGTATCATGCATCAGAGTTTTTCATGACTGTCATTTTATGATGGATATGTTACAATTACTTAGATTAATGGGGTGCCACACATTGATGGATTGTGAAACAACTTAATGAGTTACACCTAGCATTTGCAAAAGAGAAAGAAAATGTAAGAATGCATTAACCATTAATGTGGATATTAATTTTAAACTTTGCTTTACTTATATATATGTATGTCTTACTCTGGGTTATGGTAAAAAATGCTTAGAAAACTGTAAATTAGAACTTGGGTGGCTTTTATAGTTCCCATTTTTTAGTAGAAGGAGTGTGAGCCTTTTTAACCACATCTAACAGTCATCTAATGGAAGGTTGGTTCCTGGGAAGGGTTTCTGCACATGGCAGGAAGACACTATCACACCTTTTCCCTAAGCTCTGGGAACCCTACCCTACCCAGTGGGTTTATGGATTCTGAAGGGAACAGAGAAAAGGTATGTGTGACTAACAGCATCAGAGTGATGTGTGTGCCTGTGTGTGTAGGGGAGCTGTCTCTGCGTGCCAGGGGTATGGGGAGGGGAGTGCAGTGTGCTTATGGCGTGTGCACTGAAAGTATCCTGTGAGTATATATATGGGTGTGTGTGACTGTGTTTTGTATGCGTGTGGAATGGTGTGAATACATAATCA